CGGACAAAGCATTGGCAAGACTACAGCCTTCGCCGTTTGTTCCAGCGATCGAAAACGCGCCCCTACCATCAGGCTTCCTTCAGCCGAAATTCACTAACTTGGAGAGTCGAGTTGTGCTGTTGTTTTTTATCCTGCACCTTCTTTATTTCTCTAGATCCTTCGTACCACCACAAACAAGACAAAAAAAAGGAGGAAACAATTCATATAATTTGAGGAATAAAACACCACAACATATAAAAGTTTTAGAGATCAAATTTTAGCTTTTAAAAGTGAAAATTTTGTTGCAAAAGATATTTAGGGACCAATTTCTATCGTCATAAGAATAGTCGCTAAAAGGTCATCTCGAAAAATAAAAAACAAGAATTTTAGAGACAAAATTTTGAAAATGTCACTAATAAATAGACTTTTAGGGACAAAATAATTTAGTCTCAAAATGGTTTATTTTTTAAGACAAAAAATTTGGTCCAAAAAAGACAATAATTCATTACTAATATCTAATTTTGGTTGCTAAAAATATAATACCAACACTTTTCGCAACAAAAATATTTGATTTCTTAAAAATAAATTTCTCCATAAATTTTGATGTCTAAAACTTTAATTTTTTGTAGTAATATATGTTTTAAGTACCGTATAAAAAGAACAACAGAGGATTGCTGTGGGAAGTTTATTGTATTACCACATCCAAGAATGATTAGCATTGCCTTGGTAATAAGCTTGACGACTTCAAACCAAAATTGGTAATTGGGAGGAAATGTGAGATTCTCTTGAGCTGCCAATTAAACATTATAAACTTAAATTTTAAGTCCAATTGATAAAACCATTAAGGTATTTGATGAAAAATTATCATTGAGTTTAACTTATTAAGTTGTGTAAGTATGTATTTTATCTTAAAGTATGGCACAATGTCACTATAAATTGCGTATTTTTCATAAGAGAATACTAACTGTTGTAATTAATTTGACCAAATTGAAATAAAATCATAAATTTATGATCAAAATTAAACTAATAAAAATTATAAGAACTAAAATAATACAAGGACTAAAGTATAAGAACTATTAGTATAATTTGACGAATTTTTTATATATAAATTTTATTTGTATAATATATCTCACTCAAATTACCACTATGTTTAAGAAAACAAAATGTTAAGATCTGACTAATGAGTTGTTTACATTGACGTTCCATATCTTTTTGTTTTGGTTTATCCTTGCCTCGCCCAACTGAAAAAAGAAAATGGTTAGGTATTAGCACTCCTAACATGGTGGAAAAAAGAAATTATACAACAATAGAACATTACAATAGAGAAAAATTTACACCAAATAATGCAAAAAACAAATTACAAATTGAAGCATAAATGTGAAATAAAGAGGTGAAGAGAGATGTGAATGTGATCCACACATGATCTATATGTCACTACAAAAACTTAAAGTTTTAAAGACCACAATTCAAGACAAAATTATTTTTGTTACGAAAAGTGTCGCCATTATATTTTTAGTAACGAAAATTAGACATTAGCGATAGATTATTATCATTTTGGGACCAAATAAATCATTTTGAGACTAAATTATTTCGTCCCTAAAAGTTTATTTATTATCAATATTTTTAAAATTTTGTTGCTAAAAACTTGTTTTTGACTTTTCGACAGAACTTTTTAACGACAATTTTCACGATAATAGAAATTGATCCCTAAATATCTTTTTCAACAAAATTTTCACTAATTTCTAAAACTTTTATATCTTGTAGTGGTCCATTATCCACAATTCAAGTGAGGCGAAGATGAATTTGAACTTTTTGGTAATGATGGTTATTGGTCTTCCTTCTGGGGAAAACCTACAAACAAACTCTTTAGAGAACGCTGGTGGGTGTCATTCTAAAAAAATCTCTGATAATTGAGTTAGAATTATACTTGAGAAGGAGATAAAAGGTCAGAGTAAAATTGATAGTGTAGCTTTTATACTGTAGATGGGCATGTATATAAAGACTTGTCTTCCGTGGTTGTACTCTACGTGAGGGTAATAATTTTGCTAGCAATTTTTTCTATTGAGTGGTGATACGTGAATTGCCATCATTTTAAAAGGTTAAGATGGTAATAGTTACTGGTGGTAGAGACCTCCTTTGATCGTGCCATGTATCCCTGTGCGCATAATTTATATGCACTTGCCTTTGTTAAGATGGTGAGTCCCTCGACTAGCTAACTATGATGCCTAAGAGTGGTCGGGAGTGGCCCTCCCGACCCTCTTGGTTTGGTAAGGTCAACCTTCTAATCCTCAAGGTGGGTTAGTGGATCTAACCTACATTATTATATGTGTATATATATATTACAGTTTTATTTGATATAGGTTTTTTTTTTTTTTTTTTTAATCTGATTTTTTTAAACTATGAAACTAAACTAGAAGGGATTTGGATTATCTCAAATTAACCATCCAAATTGAGAGAACGTTTAGGTTTGATGGGCTTATTTTGGAGCCAATCTCAGTGATCTGAATCATTCACTTTTTAGAATTTATTGAGTATAATATTCATGCAAAAAGTTAAGACGATCCGACATTAATATTTATATGTTTAAATCATATTTGTTTTGAAAAATAAGAACGATAATTATAACTTCAAAAGTAACCACATATTTTTTTATAATACAAATGTGATTTAAACATATAGTAACCAATGTCCAATGATCTTAATTTTATGCATTAATATTCTACTCAACGAATAATAAAAAGTAAATAGTTTATATCATTGAGGTTGAACATAAAAAGATACAATTTTAAAATTTTGCTTGGGCCATCAAAACAGTGTTGATATTCTTTTCAATGATCAAAACGCTTTCAACAATGCTACACCGATTACATTTGGTGTATCATATATGAGTTGCAACGGTTATAATATTTTAATAAATCTTATCAATTATATCTATTTTGAATGCAGTGGTGACAATTTATATAATAAATAATATCAAAAATGGTGACAATTTATACAATGAAATACAGCCATTAAGTTTTATTTTATGTTATTTTTTTGTCAATCGATAGAAGAGTAATTATAATTATTATAAATATTTACATTATCAAATAGACTACTAGTCTACAATAACTAGAACAACCAGATAAAACAACCCATAATCGGGAAGAAATAAACAACCACCATAAAGGATATTAAACTCCTCTCTATAAGAGTTAAACCTGAGATCTCACACCATAAAGGGAGTTACATAACCACTAGGCAAATGTCACCTTAATGGTTGTATTTTTTTTTTTTGGCAAATTAAATATACCTCTCCCGAGGTTTAGCTAAATTACAGATACTCTCCTGAGGTTTCGGAAATTACATCCCGCCCCCTGAGATTTGTATTTTCATAACAATTTGCCCCCTGAGGTTTATATTTCATAACAAATTACCCCCTAATTTCTTATGCAAATATAGCATTCAGGGAGAATTCGTAATTTCTCAAACCTCAGGGGTATCTGTAATTTAGCCAAATCTCGAAGGGTATATGTAATTTGCCCTTTATCTTAATAGTTTAAAAACAAACTAAAAAAATATATATGACTACTTATAAGGTACATTAAAAAATCCCTAATCTTATTCATCATAACAATGCTAGAGAGGCATATAAAATTATTTTGGATCTTGTCAATAAACTCTCTCCATACACACACACAAAAAAAAAAAAAAAATGTTAGAATATGAAATTTTTTTCACTAAATTCTATACATTTTTTAATATTTTCATTACTTTCAAAAATTCATTTTATCTTCATCCCAATATTAAACAATACCTATTTTAATAACCACGTGGCACAATGCAAATACTTCATTGGAACAAGGGCTTCACATTGTGTGCCACGTGTAATGAATTAGCTTAGTCATCAAATTATCCAGACAAAAGTTTACAAATACTGACAACTTGAATCATAATCAATGGTAAAATTTCACAAAACCCAAATGATGATGTCACCCAACGGTCAAGTAAACGGGTCTCAGATGAGGAGACAAGCACGTGCCACTTCACACGTGCCATTAAAATAATCACTCTCTTCCGTACACCCAACCCCCTCTTCCCACCAACGGTCATATTTCACCGACAACCCTCCAACGGTCACTTGACCCATCAATCTCAACCGTCTGATCTCCATCCCACGGCCCCAAATCGAAATTCCCAGACCCTTCTCGAATCACCCCTATTCCCCCAAAGCTAGGTAAATGAAATCAACCATGGAAGAAGTAGCATAGTGAAGGAGAGAGACAGTAACAACAGAGTTTGATTTATATAAAAACAGAGTCTTATTTGGTGTAAAGGCTTTTTGGGTAGTGAGTGAGTCTTCTAATCAATTTCATGAATGTTTCAAAGGTTGGGGATTCTGGGTCTTTTGGGTTTTGATTCATTGTCAGGTATGAATGCTCCAAATGCTGATCTGGGTCACTCAATTTCTCACAATTTGAGCTGCCAATTTGAGCGATCGAGTGTTTGGAGCTCAAATCATGGTGTGATTTTCAAACTTTTCAGTCTTTCCCAATGAGTTCTCTTTGAAAATTTCGGAATCCGATGATCATTTTCTGGTAGGTTTCTAATTTTGTTGTTTCAATTCTTTGATTCTTTCTCGGGTGGGTTTTGTTTTGTTCACTCTGTTCTTCATTGCATTCATTCATATAGGGACACACACATATACAATACCTTTTCACTAATTTTCTTCCTCCACCTTCTGTGTAAATCTCATCGGATTCCTGTTGGTTTTGTTAGTCTTTGATTTGTTTAACTTCACACTCTCACATAGTTTGTTGTTTCTCTGGATTTCCCTTGACATAATTAAACACAGAATAGTCATACATTGCATAATTTGTATCTATACATATACACAGAGAGAGGGAGAGAGAGCAAAAGAAAAGAAAAGAAAGGGTGGGTGTGTCCAAACGAAAGAAATTGAGAAAATTGGAAGGGTACAGAGAATATGTTGGCCGGGTGTTCTTCGACATTGTTGTCACCAAGGCATAGATTTAGGAGTGAAGCATCAACACAGTTCCAACCTTGTAATTTCACTTCAATGAGCACACAAAGATTGGATTTGCCATGTAGTTTTCCCAGAAAAGACACCTCAAGATCACAACCCATTAGGCCAGTTGGCCTTTCTGTCGAAAAACCGCTTGAATCGAAGACCAATACTTGTAATCTGAAGCAGAGCATTCGCCTCCCGCCATCTGCAACGACCGCTCAGACCACCACCGCATTCATCGAAGGCGGTGGTGGTAGAGACATCAAAGATGAATTGTGGGAAAAAGGTACAAAAAGCTTGAAGAGATTTGCAGAACAGAGCTTTTTCGACGACAACGACGACGACGATGAGCCCTGTATGAAGAGGGCTAAGAGGAAAAGGGGTTGTGGAAGATCATCAGATGATTCTCATTCTCCAAAAGGCGGTGCAGACGAAGAATTGAGGAGTTTAGGCCATCTGGGTAGTGGGAATTTTTGGTTTCAGCCAAGTTTTGAGAGAGTCTGTTTTGTGCCAAGTGATGTGATCTCACTGCCTCTGCCTCTATCAAACACTCCATTTGTGACTGAGATTGCAGACTTAGGAGATGACAAGAATATCGAATCGAGCCACAGGCAGCCCGTGCAGGCGGCGTCAGGATCGAGTACTTCATCTGAGAGCCATAGCTTGTCCTTGAAGCTCAGTGACAACCCTTCTGGGCATGAAATTGGTAACGGGTCAGGACTACCTAATCCCCCAACTGGTGGAGGAACAGAGGTGGCTGCTGCAGGGGACAACAACAACCACAGGGAAGATGATGGGTTTGAGCTCATAAGCTTATTAATGGCCTGTGTAGAAGAGATTGGATCGAAAAACATTGCAGGAATCAACCATTTCATAGCTAAATTGGGTGATCTTGCTTCTCCAAGAGGGTCCCCAATTAGTCGTCTCATCGCTTACTTCATCGAAGCTTTAGGTTTGCGAGTCACAAGACTTTGGCCAAATATTTTTCACATCACAACACCTCGGGAGCTTGATCGTGCAGACGATGATGGTGGCAATGCATTGAGGCTTTTGAATCAGGTGAGCCCAATTCCCAAATTCATTCATTTCACTTCAAATGAAATTTTTTTGAGAGCTTTTGAAGGGAAGGACAGGGTTCACATCATAGATTTTGACGTAAAGGAAGGCCTTCAATGGCCTAGCTTGTTTCAAAGTTTGGCCTCCAGAACTAATCCTCCAAGCCATGTTAGAATCACCGGTGTTGGCGAATCCAAACAAGACCTAATCGAAACAGGAGAGAGACTATCTGGATTCGCTGGGGCGTTGAATTTGCCTTTCGAATTCCACGCTGTTGTCGATAGATTGGAAGATGTCAGGCTTTGGATGCTTCATGTCAAGGAGAGGGAAACAGTGGCTGTGAATTGCATTTTCCAACTTCACAAGACGCTTTATGACGCTTCTGGAGGAGCTTTTAAGGACTTTTTGGGGCTAATTCGAAGCACGAATCCAACTATTGTGGTTGTGGCAGAGCAAGAAGCAGAGCACAATGAGATCAGCTTGGAAGCTAGACTTTCCAATTCACTCAAATACTATTCTGCTATTTTTGATTCGGTTGATTTTAGTTTTCTTCCATTGGATAGCCCGGTCAGGATCAAGATAGAAGAGACATTTGCACGCGAAATTAGGAATATTATCGCTTGTGAAGGAATCGATAGGGTTGAAAGGCACGAATGCTTTGCAAAGTGGAAGAGATTGATCGAGCAAGGAGGGTTCAGAAGCGCGGGGATTACTGAGAGAGAATTGATTCAAAGCCAAATGTTGTTGAAGATGTACAATTGTGAGAATTGGAGTGTGGAGAGGAAAGGACAAGACGGGGATGCCATTACACTTAATTGGTTAGATCAGCCTCTTTTCACCGTGTCAGCGTGGGCTCCGATTGATGCTGCTGTTGTTGCAGGAAGTTCTTCATCGTACTCTCAGCCGCCGAGTTGATTTGCTGTGGATTTTCTTCTTCTTGATCATACATTTGATTTTCATCGTTTTCATTTTCGTTCCATCATAATATATACTAAAAAGGGTAGGAAATTCTTTGTAGGTAGAGAAATCTTTGATCATTCTTTCATTCTTTTGTTGCAGATAAAAGATTTCTAGGTTTTCAGTGGGTAGTTTTTGGAGTCTCATTTGTTTGTCTATTCTTTGATTCTTTCTTTGATGTATTTTCTGAAATTCTTTGTTAGTTTGTGTTACTTTGAAATATGTATTCTTTGGTTTTTTATTTTATTTTATTTTTTTGAAAGGGTCACCAATTTCATTTATTTTTGAACCATGTAGTTGAAATTTGTATTCATATATATATGATATGTTTCATTGTGTTGAGTTATGAATTCTTCAATTTCTTTTCACTTTCTTTTATATCCAAATTTTTACACTTCTTATTCGAGGATGCATAAGATCTTGCATTTGTCACATTTCTTGCTATAATTTATATGTAATTCAGCTATAAGTCTAAGGTTGTCACTGAAGAATTTTATTATAAATAAACCTCTCTTTCACCCACCCACAATGCCCCACATGATACTTGAATTCATAGCCTCCACTGTGGAAATTAGAAAGCATATCACTATGACACAAAGCTCTGTTCCACAGTTGGAGCAGTGATGATCATGTTGGATAATTTTTTTATACATTTTTAAATCTATGGGTGAATATTGAGTTATAAAAAATAAATAAAAATACATTGTTTAAATTTACTTTTTAACTGTTTAAACTTTTAAAATAATGATTCACTTAATAGGCTATTTTGGGAAGTGAGTTAAAAGTCACTTCTCAGCTTTTAACTCACTTCGCTCTCTCATAAAAAAGTAAAAAAGTAACTTTTAATCATCTTTCTAAAATACCCCATAATATCAAACTTCATTTTGGTAGAGATATTGTTAGTTATAAGCCAAAAGTAATCCTAGTTAAAAGACAAAAGTAATATGTTTTTGTACGGGAAAGAAATAAACCTTCTCGTATAATCCTGTTGATCAAGTCTGCGCTCCTCCGTACGACGTCGCTTTATCCCCTGAAAATACAAACGTGAGCTAGCCGGCGGGTGTGTGCCGGATACCTCTCCGATGCCTAAGTCAGTAAAACAGACAAATAGACAAAAGCTCTGTGTATTCGAGAATCAAAGTTTTGTTACCTCTCCATAGGTGATGTTATGAGTTTTTATAGGTTCCGCGTGACACAATCCAAGTAGGACTCTTACTCCTCCATGTAGAGTCCTCCTAGGAATCACATTCCTGAAAGATAATGCTTATCCTTCAACACCCCCCTCACTGCTTAAACCAAGTGAGATGATTTTACCACGGTTGGATGTCAATACGACCGAGCTAACATGACCATGCTAAAGCCGCAGACTAGACCGAGCTCCAGCTAGCTTGGTTCTTCCTTTCACTGCGTGTACCTCGGTTTGACATACTCCAACTGTGGTGTTTACTTACTATCGTGCTAATCGTAGTAAATCCCCGACCAAGCTAACGATAGCTAGGTCCACCGCAAGAAGCCTAAATACCTTGGTTCTGAATACCATGACCGAGATAACTACATTTACTCTGTCTGGTGACTTTAATCACACTTGGACCGTGGTAAAATTTGCCAATCCTTTTTCATACTTGGTCCGAACTAACTATGGCGAGCTAAGACCGCGCTAACCAAAGCGAGGTCCACCATGAGAAGCCATCATGCCTTGGCTCCAAATACTACGACCAAGCTAACTATGGCGCGCTACGACCGCGGTGACTATCATTACACTTGGACCGAGCTAACTAACTCCACTCCGACCATGGTGACCGTTATTACACTTGAACTGAGCTAACACTTGCGATCCACTTGCTAAGCTCTTTTTACTGCGGCTAACACCTTTACCTCAGCTGTCCCTTTACCTCGGCTGATATCTTTACCTCGGCTAACATTGCGGTCAACCAAGTTACTTCGGCTTTTTTCTCCGTTTGACTACCTTGCTTGGTAGCTCGGCCATAGCGTTGACCGCCACTAGGAAGTAGCTAAGTCCCGTAGCTAGGTCCCGTGGCTAGGTCTCATAGCTAGGCCGCATAGCTAGGTTCAATAACTTGGTCCCGTAGCTAGGTCTTGTAGCTCGGTCTCATAGCTAGGTCCTGTAGCTAGGTCCAACAGCTTGGTTCTGTAGCTAGGTCCCGTAGATAGGTCCTATAAACATCTTTGACCGCCACTCCAACCTAGCTCGGCCCAATTTGGCTACACAAATTACCCTCTTAATTGCCCCTTAATTCCATCTGTGTAGCATGATTTGGGATTACCTGTTAACGGCCGAGCTAAAAACTTCAGCCCTTCAACCGAGCAATAACTTGGGGCGGAACCAACTCCCTGACTTAGTCAAAAACCGAACTAAGAATGCCGCACCATAAGCTTCAATCGGGCTACGAATCCCTCGTTCCACTTAGCCGACAGAGGACTCCATTTATTTCGCCTTTGTTTCTTTTAGCATGGTCTAATGATCCATGCTTAATATTTTTCCTTTTCACTTTGCAGATTGACTAGGTTGGCCAGACACACCTTTGTATGCTCAACCGTGATACTATATCTTGCAATGTGAGGCTGCCAAAGACCTTTTCTTCAAGTGTGGGTGGAAAGCAACTGTGGCGTAACTCAGTCATAGCCAAGAGACCGAGGTCTTCCTAAACCCTCCTCCATATTTTATATTGAGCTCCATGGTGGATTATGCAAATGTCATTCAGTAAAAATTTCTTCAAGCTGAGGAAGATGATACATCCCAAGAGCCTGATAACAACGCCCAGCTCGGTCGCCAGTCCATCTCTCAAACTCCAGTGGTCTCCATCCCACCTTTGCCTGTTGTGTCTAATGCGGTGCCTTCGACCGAGCTCAACCAAAGTGTGCTTGCCATAACCGAGCTACCTTTAGGTGAAGCCAGGGTTGAATTGGACGCCGATTTAGATGACCTCTTTGCATGACCATGTACTTTCTTTTCTTTGGATGCTAACTTTGGAAGCTTTTGTAACCGGGCTATGGCCTCTCCTTTTGTAATGCACTTTTGGAATGAAATCTTCAGTTTGGAATGAAATCTTCACTTTTCTCATCTTTTTGTTCGATTTATACCTGCATCCATTATTCAACTATAACTTGTATGAAGTATAACAATTTCTTTCCAGGATACCAATCTCGATCTCAACCTTGCAATCTACTTATCCCTGCTAACCACTCTTTAGCCTAGATCCTTATCTCGGCTGAAGAGTACCAAACGTTGGTTATTCTAGCCAACCACTTTTTAGCCTAGATCCTTATCTCGGCTGAAGCGAACTAAAAGTTAGTTTTTCCAGCCAACCTCTTCAGCCTAGATCCTTATCTTGGCTTAGGAGAGCTAAATGTTAGTTATTTCGACCAACATAGAGCTAAGTGTTTGGTTATTCCTACCAAACTTCTTGATTGCCCCTCAAGTCGGGCAAAGACTTGTTGGTCAAACATGTCAACTTCCTGCAGCCTAGATATCCTTATCTCGGCTTAGGAGAGCTACATGTTGGTTATTCCAGCCAACATAGAGCTAAGCGTTTGGTTATTCCCGCCAAACTTCTTGATTGCCCCCCAAGTCGGGCAAAGACTTGTTGGTCAAACCTGCCAACTTCCTGCAGCCTAAATATCCTTATCTCGGCTTAGGAGAGTTAAATGTTGGTTATTCCGGCCAACATAGAGCTAAGCGTTTGGTTATTCCTGCCAAACTTCTTGATTGCCCCCCAAGTCGGGCAGAGACTTGTTAATCAAACCTGCCAACTTCCTGCAGCCTAGGTATCCTTATCTCGGCTTAGGAGAGCTAAATGTTGGTTATTCTGGCCAACATAGAGCTAAGCGTTTGGTTATTCCTGCCAAACTTCTTGATTATCCCCCAAGTCGGGCAAAGACTTGTTGGTCAAACCTACCAACTTCCTGCAGCCTAGATATCCTTATCTCGGCTTAGGAGAGCTAAATGTTGATTATTCCGGCCAACATAGAGCTAAGCGTTTGGTTATTCCTGCCAAACTTCTTGATTGCCTCCCAAGTCGGACAAAGACTTGTTGGTCAAACCTGCCAACTTCCTGCAGCCTAGATATCCTTATCTCGGCTTAGGAGAGGTAAGTGTTGGTTTTTCCAGCCAACTCTGCTTTTAATGCCCGTAGCTCGCTAAAACAACTTTTACAAAAGAAAACAATCTATGCTGAAAAGGAAACTACTTGTTTTATTGAGGAAAAGAAAAATTACAAGTACTCTATAGGAAAGCTAAAAATAAAATAACTTGAGATTGACAGTGTTCCACGGCCTGGGAATGACCTTGCTATCTCCATCTTCCAAGTGGGATGCTCCTTTTCCTACTAATCAACCACTTTGTATGGTCCTTCCCATTTGGGACTATCTCTGGGTGCCAAAGTGTTTCCCATTACTTTGCGCAGCACCCAATCTCCAATCTTAAATTGCCTTTTATTCAGCTGCCTTGCCAACATTTGTGAACAGCTCCTTGCTCTCGAGTTCTTCCACCAGCTGTACATATCCTTTGGCAGCGCGGCTGCCATTTGCTGTGACGAAGTATTGTTTGGACATAATTTGGTCTCCAAAGACCTCTTCAATTACCCCGAATTCGTTGGGGAACCGCAATACTTGATGGTACGTTAAAGCTACTGATCGCATGGCGTGCAACTATGTCCTTTCCAATATTATGTTGTAAGAGGAAGGGACTTTCAATACTTAGAATTTCACTTGTTTTGTCATGGTTCCTGCCTTGACTGGGAGGATTATCTTGCCCACTGGCCACTCTGGCATTGAGTTGAATCTGATCAGGGGAGATGTTGCAGGTGCCAAGTCTTTGTCCTCCAATTTCAATTGTTTGAAGGTTTCGTAATACATTATCTCACATGAGCTTCATTGGTCGATTAAAAACCGTTTGATGTCGAAATTCTTGACGCGTAGAGTAACGACCAGTGTATCATTGTGAGGGCAGTATATCCTTGCTAAGTCTTTGTTCGAAAAAGATATGACATTTGTGGGTTCTGTTCTCCCATTTTTGATGGTAGGTTGTGCACTTAGTACCTCCCTTAAGTGCTCAGCATTTTTGATCATCCCCCTGAGCTCACATACTCGCTCAGGTTCGAATACTCCATGTATTACGTTTATTACGCCTAGAGGTGGAGCGTCGACCGGCATCCCGTTTGGGTTGTTGTGGTTCTGGGGGGCTGGCTGTGTCCCTCATTCTATGTATTGGTCCAGGTGTCCAGCTGCCACTAACTCTTCCAAGTGCTGCCTTAATGGCGTGCAATTTTCATGGAAGGTGCACCACGACCTCTCGTCATAGTCTCTTTGCGCTTCTCCCAGTTTA